CCACAATAAAATTCATATAGAAGCCTCCGTGCAGACATATTTTTCTTTCTCTTGGGTAAATATATAGGAGAATTTCAGAATCAAATGGTAAGTGTATATAACTTTATAAAAATCTGTCAAACTGTTTTCCAAAATGACTGTTTCATGTATACTTCCATCAGCTTAATAATATTAAGCATCATTTCATGGGCTTATGTTCCATTTGGAACCTCTTCCTTTGTAAGTTATCTATTCAAATATTATGCCTATATTTTAACTGTTCAGGTGGAGCTTTTTTCATTCTTACTATTGAATTGTATGAATTCTATACTGATTCTGGTTTGAGTCCTTGGTCAGATATATATATAATATATTATGATATTTTCTGCCAGTCTGTGGTTTACTTTTTCATATTTGTAACATTGCCTGTCTTTTTAAGATATATATATTTTAAAACTAATGTTGAACTTATAGTTTTATTTTTTCTTTGCCTATCCCAGAGTCTCAAAGCTTTGCTCCTTTGTTTTCTTGTAAATTTTTAGTTTTACTTTTATATATAGGTCTACTATCTATCTCAAATTAATGTTTTTCTATGTGGTGTGAGGAAGGGTTAACATTTCCTTTGTTTTAATATGGATTTTTAAAATTTTCCCGCATCATATGCTATAAAAATTATCATTTACTTTTTGAGTTAATTGATCCCTCCATGAAATTTATTCCATTGATCTGTTTATCTATGTATGATTTCTACATTTTCTTGCTTACTATAGCTCTATGGTAAGTTTTGAAATAAGATTAGTATAAGTTTCCCTATTATTATTTTGCTAAGATTGTTTTGGCCCCAAATCCGCTTATTTTTTTAGTTGTTTTTTTGTAGTTCTTTAATATCGTTTAATGTACATAATCATTTCTCTTTTGAATAAAGACTGTTTTACTTGCTCATTATTTCTTTTTCCTGCCTTAGACATTGGCTAGGGTCTCTAGCACAATTTTGACAGAAGTCTGGACAATGGATATCTCCAGCTGCTTCTGGATCTTAGGAGAATAATGTACAATATTTCACCATTAGGTATAATGTTAGCTGTAGGTTTTTCATAGATGGCCTGTAGATGATAAATTGAGATCCTTTAAACATCAGTGTGCTGAAAGTTCTTATAATGAACCAGTGCTGACTTTTGTAAAATACAGTTTTCTACATCCATCAGTATTTTTTTCTGGTAACATTTTTGATTATATTGTTTGATTTCTGAACGTTAAAAATAAACCCTGTCTTTCTAAGATACACTCCTTAGTCATATGACATATATATTTCATATGATCGTATTTCATATGTCTTGATTTTTATATTTCTGGATTATATATATTTATGTATATATATACATATATGTATATATATATACATTTATGGATTATATACATTTATGTATATATATACTTCTGGATTTAAATTGCTAATATTTTATTGAGAGTTTTTGCATCAGGTTAATGAGAAATATTAGTCAGTAAATTAGTCTGTTCCTCTCTCATGGTATACATTGTCAGGTTTTGGTATCAGAGATATGCTAGCCTTAAAAAATAATTTGATAGGTATTTTTTTCCTTTATATTTAAGAAGAGTTTACATTATATAGGCATTATTTTTTCTTTAAGAGTTTGCTAGAATCAACTAGTGAAGTAAATTTTTCCTGGGATATTTTTGTGAAAAGGTTTTTGATAATACATTTGATTTCCTTAAAAAGTATATGGCCATTCAAATATACTAATTATCCCATCCAAGCTTTGTCAAGTTGTGCCTTTCAAGAAATCAGTCTATTTAATCTAAATTATTGAATTCACTGTCATTAGCTGTACATAATATTCCCTTATTATGATGACAACATCTGAAGACTCCACAATGATGTTCTCTCTATAATCCCTGATATTGAACACTGGTGTTATCTATTTTATTGGTTAACATATGTAAAGATTTGTTAATTTTCTTAATTCCACAAGTCCACTTTTTAACTTGTTTACTCTATTGTTTTTATTTTTCAATTTAATTGATTTCCTCCCTTTTAAAATAAAGGTTTTCTTTTATTTTGTTGAGTTTAATTGGTCTTCTTTTCTAACTTCTTTAGGTATAATCGCAGAACATTAGTTTTTAGACACTTCTTTTCTAAAATAAGTATTTAAAGACATACGTGTAAGGATTGCTTTTGCTATAGTTCACAAATTTGGATATGCTCTCTGTTCATTTTTGTATAGTTAAAAATATTTTCTTTTTTCCTTTGTGGTTTCTTCTTACACACATGGTATACTTAGAAATATTTTTCTTAATTTCCAAGTGTTTGATTATTTTGAGGCAACATATTCAGTTATATTTTAACTTCATTGCAGACAGAAAATGTATTCCATATGACTTCAATCCTTTTAAATTTATTCAGACTGTTTTAAGTCCAGGACTTGGTGGATACTTTATAATAAAGTTTGTCACTCTTCTCTAACTCAGTGGGACTTGAACTCCACAGCCCACTGAAGTGAGCAGGGGCTGAAATTTCTGGTCAGTTCTTTGAGATTTGCAGTGGTTCTCTTCCCCTTTGATTCTTTGAAGACTGGCGTGTTAATGAACAATTCTTGGAAGAGCCACAGTTTTGAAAGGAGTTTAAATACAAGTGTGGAGACTGTCCCTCTGTGCTCTTCCATTTCTGGATTATGTCTCCTCAACTTCTCTCCAGTTTGGTGTTCCCAAACGCCACCCTCCGACTCCTTACTCCTAACACACTGCACATTGCTGCTTGATTTCTAGCCACCTTGTACCACAGAAACTACGCGGTGCTCTCAGAGCAAAAGTTTTATAAACATAAATCTTATCTAGTGTGATACCCTTCTTTCAAGGGTCTAATTCCATTCTGACGGCTTTTAATCTGTCGTTCATTCTAATAAAAGCCTCAGCAAGGCTTTCAGTATTGTTCATGATAATTTGGAGTTTACAATGGTTATGTGAGGTAAGATTGGTGTGATAGATGCTACTCTTGCTTTTACAGAAACCAAAACTCCCAAACTGAAAGTATCTTCTATCTGGCTAAAATAATAATGGTTTTGCAAGTTTTGCGCAAGTATAATCTTCATTCTTATTATAAAATGCATTTAAATCTACTTGAAGATGGTTTGACCTTCCCAGTTCTTACAGGTTTTCTTTTATATCACTCCTCTAATGTGTAGGCTAAAGAGTGCTCTAAAATACGTTTTTTTTCCTGATCATCGTGTTTAGTAAGCATGTAATATCCATATAGAAATATTGGTATAACTGGGGAAAAATTTTATCAAGCAAATCATATGAATTAAATACCCCATGGATATGTAAGGATATAAAATCTGTTTAAAGACTCTAAGTTGACATAGAACAGTTCTTGTAATAGATGACTGAGAAATGACAGTGTTTTGACAAACCAACTTGCAGGTCAGGAGCAACATTTTGTATTGGAAAATAAATAAATAACAAAACCTCACTTGTGGATATTCTTAGGTAAGACATATTCTTAGGTAAGAATAACAGATTCTTAGGTAAGAAGTATTTAAACAATGTCCACAAATAAATAGTTAAAACATTTTTAAAAAATCATAGTTAAGGCAGTTTTCAAAAATCTAAAACTTATATATGTGGCAGATACTAGTACTAAGTTACAATGTTTGGTTAGCAATCTAGAAAGCTTGATTTATTTTGGTCAGGGTAGGGTCATACTTGCAGAATGACAAAATAAGTTATTTCATGACACAGAAATAAGTCTAGACTTTAATTAACAAATTTAAGTTTGAATGAATTCATTTTCCCTATGTTTGCCTTCTTCTGTCTTAAGTATGAGGGTGAGCTATTCCCTGAATTATGCAATGAAATATATAATTCAGACAAATTATCTTTTAAAATTATAATAAGGTGTTTCATTAATAACTTGAATATAACAATGTGGGGTCAGATATTCCCTCTCAAAAATGAAACGTTCTCTTTTATTCAAAATCCCTGTCCCCTTGTCCAAGTAGGAGTTTTCTTTAATTATTTATTTTTGGCTGTGTTGGGTCTTTGTTGCTGCGCGGGCTTTCTCTAGTTAGGGCGAGCGGGGGCTACTCTTCTTGGCAGTGCGCGGGCTTCTCTTGCTGCAGAGCACAGGCTCTAGGCGCACGGGCTTCAGTATTTGTGGCTCACGGGCTCTAGAGCGCAGGCTCAGTAGTAGTTGTGGTGCATGGGCTTAGTTGCTCCAAGGCATGTGGGATCTTCCCGGACCCGGGCTCGAACCTGTGTCCCCTGCATTGACAGGCAGATTCTTAACCACTGTGCCACCAGGGAAGTCCTAAGTAGGAGTTTTATTAAAATTTATGACATTTCATATCTCTAAATGTTCTTGACTACTACAATTAAAATATGGATATAAAACGTTACAAAATAAAAAATTTGAAAATGAGATTATATCATCTAGATCACCAATGGCATCACAGAGGCAGTTAAGAATTAATTTCCTGGAGGTCAGCAATGAGTATGGTTCATAGGAAATTAAGCAATTTTTTATATTGTCAATATGCTAGGATTAGTATCCTAAAATCTAGAGCATAGACCATCTATTGTCTTGTTCTAAAAGAACATTCTTATATTTAAAAAATGTGAGAAACAAAAGAAAAACTTTTTCATTGTAACATTTTGTAATTCTTCCATAATGCAGATCTTGCTAACACAATATTAACTAAAGGTGAATTTACTATGAAACTAATAAAGTGTAGCCTTCAGCAATCCTCACTTTTATAGCCCCTTTCCAAAGCCTTGGAAGGGCTCTTAACAACGGTGTTCACATACCCATCCAATTTTGCAAATCTTTCAAATGTAAGTTGTCTTCTTTTTTCTTTTTTTTACAATAGGTTAACATTGTAGTATTTTCCTACTTTGTCTCCCAATTTATCACTCATTCCGTTATGTCGGTGTTAGAGAGGCTGCAGGACACTTTAGGGATAAGGCTTAAAGCAATGCTGAGTTGAGGATAAATTTGGTTTTGGATTAGAGTGAGTCTCTATTTCTTTATATACAAAAGTGGAGATGATAATACTTTTTATTCCTACATCATCAGTCACTGGGTGGAGTAACTTATATGGCAGGAATAATGATTAGTTACATACTCCATTACGGCCAACTAAAGGAACAAGATTACAAAATTATAAGCATTACTACAATAGAATATTATTATATTCCTAAAACAATGACATAATATTTATTGGCATATATTCAATAATAAAATAATGGCAGTTGATTTGCCTCTGTCCATCCACCAAAATCAGATTTAAGGAAACAAATAAACAACAGGTTAAACACTGTAACCTGTTACATGAATGGAAAAAAAAAAATCAAACTGTGGGCCACCTAATATTCATTAATATCGAGCATTATTACCCTTGATATTGCTGTGGCTGTCTCACAGATGCCTAACCTGTCACTCCACCATGTTAGCAACATAATTTGTGCATGTTTTTAGATTATATTAGTTGCTATTTCCACAGAACTGAAATGCAGGCTGAAGTAGTCAAAAAATGCTATTGGATACTAAAAATACTGTAGCAAAACCTAAGAATTTTTTTTTTTCAAAATGCGTCAGCAAACACAATTCACCTTTTAGTAGAAATGAGTGCTGGAACTATTCCCACTTGAGTGACATTAGCATTATCTTTGACTGTGGTGATAATTAGATCTGTGTTCTATCCTGAGGTCTTACATCTGGTAAATTATTTTCTTGACTGGGTTAGACTCCAGTGTCAGCAAGGACAACAGAAGGCACTCCATGCCTTGGGGCATCTCATCTGGCCACTTCTCTTTGACCTGTGAACTCCTACACAGTAGTGTTTTGTACTTTCACCAAGCTGCCCAACTGTGTTTTGGATCCATCTGTGACCTTTACTAAGTCATAAAATATGAATAAGCAGTTAACAGGAGCTCTCTATCAATAGTGTAACCAGTTCATTATATAAGTGACTGAGATAATTTATAGAAGGATTTGTTAGACTATATTTGAAAATATCTCACTACTTGAGTTGGAAAGGGATACATTTAAATATGATTATGAACAATAAATAATAATTAAAGAAAAAATTCTCTAACGTTATATCTATACACATAGACTGTCCACAGGAGCTATAATGTATTGCTATGGCTCCTATATACTTCTAGAAGTCTACCAATATTATGGTGAGATCCCAGGAGAATTGGTTATCTATCCTCCCTAATGTTGGTAACATCCTCAGGAAGGACAAGTAAACAATTCCTCTGGGATCTCAATGTAATACTGACAGACTTTTTTTTGCCAGAATGGAAAATGAAGGGAGGATATCTATCTATCTATCCATCTATCTATCAGATACAGTTCTGGAGGTCTGCCTGTTTGGAAAACTGTAGTTTACAGAATTCCTCAATAATCTTTTTTTTTTTTTTTTTTTTTTTGCGTTATGTGGGCCTCTCACTGTCGTGGCCTCTCTCGTTGCGGAGCACAGGCTCCGGACATGCTGGCTCAGCGGCCATGGCTTATGGGCCCAGCCGCTCCGCGGCATGTGGGATCTTCCCGGACCAGGGCACGAACCCGTGTCCCCTGCATCGGCAGGTGGACTCTCAACCACTGCGCCACCAGGGAAGCCCCCTCAATAATCTTTTAACACAGTTTGTTCATAAACATTCCATGATTGGTAACATTTCACCAGGCATTCACTTAACACAAGAGGCTGTCACCGAAAGGGTACATGATAAAATACGTAATGGAAAATGTATTATCTTTGGTTAAACCTAATGGCTTGGTGTAATGGACATTGGAAGTATTCTCTTTAAAAACTGTTCAAGTCATTTGCAAAAACAGACGCTTTACAGGGGTAGTCAAAATTCCTTCCTCATGTTAAATATCTCCTCTAGAATCAATTCATATTTGGAGTCAGTAACAAGTTGCAGGCATCTGTAAGAAGTAAAATTGTGTTTAGCCAATAGGTTTCTTGAATGCTGAAGCATTAGGGGGCATTTCTATGATGAAAAGCCTGAGTGAAATATTAATTAGAAAGAGAAAAACATAGTCATTTTGCTAAGACCACAAATTCAAAGTTGAGATAAATATATGACTAATAAAAATGAATAGATTAGAAAATATAAAAATGAAACATATGGCTTTTAAGATACCTAACTATGTAATTCTTCCTGCTAAATTATAGGGAGGCTTTTGTTAGCAGTCCTGTGATTAATTCAATTCAGGAAATATTTTTGAACATCTACTATGGGCAGGTAGACTGCTAGGTAAAGTTGAAATATGGCCATGAAATAATTACCAAAATTGGTATCAAAAAATTTTTAGACAAAGAACTGCCTTGGACAAGTGGAGGATATGATCTGGTATGCTGGGAAAACAAAAATGGAAGGATGAGATAGTTTAACACAATTTACAATGTCTACTGTACTTTGTTGTCCATGGACAATGGATTTCAAAGATTTCCTGGGGGTGTGTGTTACCTTTTGTGTGCATGAATTTTGGGAAGTGAGGCTGGGAGTGTGCTGTTGCACAAAAGCTTATAGGTATGATTAAATGAATAATAATTTACACTCAGTTGGCATCATTTTTTATCAAGTGATAAATTACTCATAGCTCTAGCATTAATATTAATAATGTCCAGAAAGCATCTCTTATAGTTATTGAAGTTCTTATTCTTCTAGCTTACATCAACAAGCACAGTCTAAATAGTTTTCCTTCTTAGAAGATAAACTAAGAAGTCTGACTAAAACGTTTTTTGAAACATGACAAGAAAACGGTATGGTTGATTCATGTTTAAATTGCAATCACCAGTTGATTGGGGCAGGTTGAAGAATAGCCAAGGATACAGAGGGATTCTATCTATTTTCTGTTAAGTCCTTTGGTGTCCTCCCACTATTGGTGTGGCAGCCATAAAAAATTTCTTGAATGGTACTGCTCAAATCAGGTAATAATCTCTCAATGAAGTCAACAGTCCATTTGACTTGATCTTCGATTCTCTTGGAAACCAACAGACAAACAAAGCACTATTTTGGTTAAAATCTGGCCCAAGGTTCATTGGACCAGATAGGTCATGATATGTGTGATCTGTGATCTGGCACAGTCTAAGTTTGGTCTGGACATGTCCTAATAGTACAGAGGAAATTTGGGCCTTGTACGCCAATTGGATGGAGACCTAGACACCTCACAACTACCAACCATGCACACATATTACATAGGTCAGTACCCAAGAAAGAGTCAAGGTGATGAGTAACTTTTAACTGGTCCGTAATAGCCCTACCAAACAGAGGTAGCTCCAGAGCTGATATAATTATAATAATCTTATCTTTGGGGCTCAAATCATGACCCAAGATTGGAGCAAACTTGGAATAACCAGCTGTTTAACCAAGATGTGTAATGAGACCTGCAAAATCAAAATGGTATTGGGCACATAACCATGTGGCTCCTCTAGTCCACCACTAAGGTATGCAATGATCAATTTCTCTGGATTACTCTTTCTTTTATAGATACATAACAGGATCCTGCTCCATATATGGAAAGTTGTAAAAAGTCAGCTGAACTAAGGCCATAAGTTTCCAGTGAATATAGATCAAACAACTAGGAATATGGTATAATTGCATTATTCTCATCTCCCCAGACCATATCAGAAATTCATGGAGCCTGAGGCCTCTTGCACTTGATTAAAAGAAAATACAGCCCACTAATCTCTCATAGCACATAACAGCTGATTCCTGTCCATTTATAACACAATCAAAGATAAGAAAAAATTCTCACAAAAGTCAATAACCCTGATAAAATCATTGACATAAAGGAAGAGAACATATCCTGCCAGCTGACTCCACATACTCCCTACATGGAAGAACTTCCATGTGTTTGAATATCCAGAAGCTGATTTACTTTAGTGTGCTTGTCATGTACACTATAAAGCAGCATCAAAATGCTTCCAAAATTAGGAATTCAAGTAGGCATTCTGAAAGACAAATGAAATATGCATTATGACATGCTAAAATTTTAAACCTATGTTAAGTAGTAAATTATAAGACTTAAACCTCCTTGCCATAGAAGAAAATTCTCTCAGTATAATTAACCATAGTTTGTCATAAACTTGCTCTGGAATTATCAGGCTACCCTGCAGCAGAGAATGAGCACCATTATACCAAAATGGAGGGATTATAACAGCTGTTCCATGACATCTGGAATGACCAGATAATCTGTTCCCATTTAACTCTAGAGGAAAAAGGGATGATGTAGCCGAGAAGTAAACTGGAAAGAATCTTAATATCAGGCCCGTCATCCTGGACATAAAACCCATTTTGTCATTTGTGACCCTCTTAGGGGAAAAATGAGTAAATAAAGTTACATTATTGGAGTTTTTATTAAAATAAAACAAAGGAGAAAAAGTTCAAGAGATATATATATATATATATATATATATATATATATAATAGTTTTTGAATCCAGAATGCTACTGATTATAAGACACAGTGAGATTTCCAAGATACCAATGGCAAAACCAATGTGTATCTCAAAGGCAATGAACTACAGAAGCCAAAATGACTGTTGCTTGCTAGACATTTATGGTTGGTTATTATACTCATTTTAAAAACGTGTTTAGAATGTTCCTTCTGCACACTCAAAGACTAAAGAGTGAAGCTAAGAGATATGCCTTCACTGGTGTCTGTTCCCCTTTAGACAAAAAGGAGTCCTGAATATTCTGAAAAAAAGGGACTCACTTCATCTTACATCATAGGCCCAGGTTTTCTTAAGGAATCTGTTACTGTAGTCCAGTTTGGACACCCTTTGAACACAATGACTATATTTCCCTGGTAATTCAGGCAGCTAATGTCTAGAGATGTTGTAAATATATATCCATATGTTACCCAAATTGGGTATTCCTACTGATTATTTTACATGCAAATAGAGTGAAACAAGCACTGGTTTTTGATATGTAAGAAACATACAGTCACTTCCTGGGCCCAATCAAGAAACCAGTGCAATAAGATAAGAAATAATGAGCAATA